GTTAGAGGCAGTGCTTAATTTTCAATTTAAAGAAGTGCACAGATGATGGAAAAACTCATTCTTTTCTTACAGTAGCAAAATCAAGTGTTTTATTGTCTGAACAACAATTTCTTTAATGAATACCACCTTCTATATATGAGTTTTGAAATCTGCCATCTGTTTGATGATTAACAGAATGAGGCTGATCAGTTTGTCTTTCAGCTCCATAACACATTCTACCTCCTAGATCCTAATGTGGTGACCTCTTCTTTTTCCCTTGCTTCCTTCTAAAGCAGCAAAACAAGAAAATTATGTTCACTGTAGTGTCAGAACTGAGTTTAATGTATTTATAACTGCTAGTGGAAAGGAACCTTATTTCACAGTTTCTGTGATCAGAAATTCAAGGTGATGTGAATAATTCTGGTTGGGCACTTATGCTAGTTTACATTGCTGCTGACAATTATAATGCCTTGATAGCCCTCACTCAATGCTTGATACTTGAGAACATTTTCCTGTATTACATGACAATTGCTGTTGACTTAATTCTCCTGACATCAAGGCATGACGAAAATTGTTTCATCAGCTTGAACTTTGACAGTCATTAGTCTGAGTTTCAGACCAACAAAAACTGGAAAAGTGATGATCAGAAGTGTATAGTCTTCCAGGCACATCTGGCACACTTCTATTTCATGTAACTTTTTGAACTTGTTGCAATGCAATTCCTTTGGGGAGCTTTCTATGTGTGAAAGGCATATTTTCTTTTTCTTTTGTCTTGGAATAATAATAAAAAAGCATTTACAAAGAATATGGTCTGTTTTACAAATGGGATGCTAAACCAGTGATCGTTCACCTAATCTGTCACGGTAGATTTGAGAAGCCAAAAGAAGCCTGAGTCATCCAGGTCTCTGAGGTCCCAAACTGCATTTATTTTCCTAAATTCATGCTGAGCTCAATAGAAATTTAGCTGCCTAAATAATTGTTCTTAATTTTGTTGGTAAAATCTTCAGAATTTTTACCAATAGAAGAATTGCACACACATCTTTTTACATTAGCATGTAAAACCATCTGCAGATAATATACTACTAATAACTTGGATAGTGGTAACACTATCAGATAACAAATCATCTGTTACAACTTCAGTTAAAAAAAACCCCTATCCTAACCAATGCAAATGGAATATTAAAAATAAACAAATAGACCTTTGAGGAACAGTTTTAATGCCTCTCTTTAATATTCTACATTTCTCAATAGGTATCTGAAGGTGAAGTCCTACCCTGTAAGAGACAGAAATTATTAGAGACACAATGAGACAGAATGATAGAAAGAGGCAAGTTTCTCTAAGTAACTGGGAAGAGAAGGGTGCAGGGAGGAAACATTTTGTTGTCTTGAAGATGGTTTTAAGCAGTTTTTGAAATGTTTTATGCTTTAATAATATAGCTGGAGGAGTGGGGAGTTTTTGCCTAGAATAAAACTGGAAGAATGATTCACCGCGTGTCTGCAACTGTTCCTTGATCCCAGTTAAGTTTGACACCACTAACACCTATGAGTCAGTGGAGGCTCCTTGGGATGTGCTTTGCCTGCCCTGTTTTGAGACTGTTACAGTAGGATCTTTATCCAAGGCTGGAAACTGGCTTCCAGCATTGCCTGTGTCAGTTTTTCCTACCCACTATCAAATACCACCAGCCTCCACTAAGAGAGGGGATCTATTACTACATCCCATGATCTCTGCAATACAGCTGTAATAGTCTATACTTTACCATCTATGTCCAGAACCTCAATACTGTTTATCATCCCTCTGTAGCCAAGATAACAGACGTTCCCATGGGGACTTTGTGACATAATGTTGAAGATGAACATCTGGAATAGTCAACATAACCTAAAAAAGGACAGCTGTCATAACCAGCACTCAAGCCATGAGAAGGATTTGTGTGTTGTGCTTGAGGATCCTTTACTCTCCTTGAATTTTTATG